GGGTTTAGGGTCAATCCCTCACCCAGTTCTGGGTACAGCCATTCTATATTGATTCCATATTAAGGAGCTACTGCTATAGGGGGGGGGGTGACATAAATCTTGACTTTGTATAGGGCTGATTGGGATCCAACTAGTCACCCTAAAATCGTCTCCTCTGGGAGGACCCACCTTTTACTGCAAAACCGGGGAAATTGGAACTTAGAAGAGGCTCATGGGTTGCTCCAGGCTTCAGAATTTGGGCGAGGGATTCGCGAGATCTTCAAATTCTAATTAGGTATAATACCAAACACTCCGCTGATCTACATTGGCAAGTGTAAGGGGGACATAGTTTATAACCTAGTAATATTTTGAGTGTCTTTACTACCAAGTGCAAGTTTTAGCTGGCCTTCTGATGCAGGTGACATACAGTCTTCCTTGGAAGATATCTGCACCACGCTTCCAAGACTACAGAAACTTCATCTGTACAGAGCAGTATCTGCAAAAAGATCCAGCAACTTATTACTTTGCGAATCATGCCAAGCGCGTGGGGTCATCTTCAGAGGGTTCTACTTTAGGTGACCCCCCACCCTCAACTGGTCCTATTCAGGGCTATATATAACCATATTATACTTATTATCCAACTGTTACTGGGTGGGGGCAGTAACCAAGTTATACTACTGCGTTCAAGTGGTGGACCTTATCTTGGACAAGTTCGCATGTGCAAGGAGAGCTACGGACAAACATAATAGCAGCGCAATCTGTCCAAAGCCACACACCCTGGACTTAGGTCCCCCTATACCCCCTACATATCGCCCCGTAGGACCCCGCAAGCCTGACTGTAGTGTGTAGCTCACATATGGCACTTATCCCTCTACTTACCATCATATGAACTACAGTCAATATTTCCCATATAACTAATGAACATGGGCTTCTTATTTGGGACTATATTAGGGGCAACCCCAAAAACCCTAAACCACGGACGTCCATTGAACCTGAATATCAACCCAGCAATCTCTACTTGGGGGTTTCCCAACATTAGGCCACCTTTTGGGAGTCCCCATAAGAAGGCTTGATAGCATTTTTGTCACTACTTTGAGTCCCCCCACCCCATTTATGGAAATTAGCACTGAGGCCACTGCACCCCATGCCATCATTAGGCGCTGCCTTTGCCTTAAGCCTAAATCGTGCATCCGGAACTGCAAGAGGTCATCCAGGCTTTCCCGAACCGAGCTGCTTCCAAGGCGTTATATACAGAACCTAGGTATGGGGATGCTTGAAGTGGGTCTTTGGGAAAGAGACAGCAGCCGACCTTCCGAAACCCTGAAAAAGGGCCTAAAGCACCCAGCCATCATCCCTCTGCAACAACGTCTTTTTCCAAAACTACCCTTGAAATGGGCGCTTCCTAAAATCAGGGGTCCCATTGGGGGGGGGTCCCAAGAATAGGCATTATAGTATTTGGGGGTCTACACTGGGCTCCCCCCCTATATTTAAGGAAACTTCCAAATCTGAACTCTGAACCCAAAACGAGCGATAACTGAACCGCCGACCTGCACGGTCGGGGAAACACCGTCTGCATCGAACTCGCTGGCGGATATGTTGAACCTGGTAAATTAGCAGTTCAGGCTTAGGGATTGGGGTTTAGGGTTTTAACTAATGTAGGGGCCAATGGAATTGGATTAGGGCTCGGATGTAGAGTGCCATATAGGGACTACGTAATGCAGGCGTCTAACTAATTGCCGAAATCGTGTTGAGGTCTACTTGAGACCTCCTACACTATAATACTGCCAGCAATCTACAACCAACATGCTGATAATTCCTTAGGTACCTATAGTAGGTTTTGGGTCTTTGCTTTAAGTCTTTCGATTGAGGTCTTGATAGGTTTAAAAAATCATCGCCTCCAGGTGGTGTAATCCCTTCTAATCATGCACCACAGTTCCATTATAGACGCGTATGTCTATATGTAAATATATGTATGTATGTATATATATATACATATCTCCCTGGGATATTCCGTAGGGGCTGAAGGGAATCAACACTAGGGGAGGCGATTAAGGAAACCAAGGAGTGCACAAGTCAAATTCTCAAGTTACTGCCATGGCCATGTGAGTCTTAGTCTCAACTCCTGGTATCCCCCTCAACAACCCGGATAATAGTCCCCTGTATAATCCCTTATGAGGAGTAGACTACATGTCAGTAACACTTCTAGTGAGAGGTCTCAGGAAATTCCACCCTAAACCCTAACCCCTAAACCCTAAACCCTAAACCCTAGACCTCAGTCATCATCGTGGCTGCCATGAATGCCATGACCGTTGCTTTTGTCCTGACATTTAGGGTTTAGGGTTTAGGGTTTAGGGAATCCTGGCCATCATCACCATCATCAAGATTTTGCTGAATCTAAACCCGAACCCCTGAAGCCCAAACCCTGAACCGTGTAGGTTGCGAGTCACAGACTACTGAGGTGAGGACTGCATGTTATGCCAGAACAACGGGTAATACGAAACGTCCTGTATGACCCTAAGCTGGACCCAACAATTTGCAGAAGAAGGCTCTTGTGGACTCTGTTTATAGGTTGCGGGCTATTTGTCTTCCTATCTAGGAATAAGCTCTGAACTCCTAGCCCGGAACCCTAAACCCTAACTAAACACAAGCAAGCCACCAAACACCAAGGAAGCGGATGACTCGATGCAATAGGAGCCTTACAGGACCAACGTCTGCATGGCAAGGGTGGTCTGAGGGTTTAGGGTTTGGGGTTTCTGGTTTAGGGTTTAGGGTGTAGGGTTTAGGGATTAGGGGTTTCTGCTTTTGACTGTAGATCTCTTGTCTCTTTGTACAAGTTTGGGATTCAAGCTTGCAGTTCAGATTGAGGATAGTTCAGACTGAAGGTTGGCAAGGCCAAGAGGCCTTCAAGATAAAAGAGAGGGATGATGCCCCAAAGAGCGTCAAAGTGTACTCCCCAGACCCCCTAAAGGATCCAAAACGTGGAACCCCCCTGTTTCCAAAATGCAATAGTGGGTTCATATTGGGGGGCTCCATTTTTTGGATCCTTTAAGCCCTAACTCCTAAACCCTATGGTCCATTTTACAGATCCTTTAGGGGGTCTGGGTCGCTGTGCTCTTGAGGAGCATTGCTGCCGTCGCAGTGGCGAACAAGGTGGCCTCCTGGCAAGGACCACGGGATTTAAGGTTTTAGGGTTTAGGGGCTTAGGGTTTAGGCTTGATTGAGAATATGACAGACAATCACTGTTGAAATGCCCCCCTATACAACCCTATATGTCCTCTATAATCCCCGTTAAAGGTACCCCCTATATAACCCTATCTATCCCTATATAACACTACAATACCCAATACAACCCTATGAATCCTATATATCCAAAATGCTATCAAAGTCTTGCTTTGGCCCAGCCTGGAAATTCTTTCCTGGAGGGCGCGGGGTGAGGTGAACCGGGGAATGTATCATTGCTTAGTTTGAACTGAACTTTGCTTCAAGCATACCGAGCGTCTGCGTGAAAAAAATGTCCTGCGGTCAACTGCCCTGGAAGCCCCAGATGTCAAGTACTCAGGGTCCTAGACCCTAAACCCTAAAACCCTTCCGCCTTTGTCTTGAAATTCAACTGATAGGAGCCGACCATCCCTAAACCTTGAAGCCTTACACCTGCAGCAGCCCAATTTGGACCCCAAGAGTTTAGGGTTTAGGGTTTTGAGTTTAGGGTTTCCCAAAATTAGGGGAACCGTTTTGTGGGTCCCCATAATATACTGTAAGGAGTATAGTGTTTTGGGGTCTACATTGGGGACGCGTCACAGGGTAACAGAATCATCCAAAACCGTAATCCATAAAAAGAGTCTGAAAGACTGCTGTCTTACAGACTTCAGTGCGTAGACCAGCCGAAAGACTATGTGAGCTATAGTCTAAACTCCTAGTATCCCCCTGAATAGCCCTCCTTATAGTACTCCCCTACATGATCTCCTATATAAGCCCTCTCAGGAGTTTAGACTATAGATCATATCGTAGCTACTCATCGCCTCCTTCACTGAGACCAGGTACTCCGTGTACCAGGTGGCCTCAAGTGCACCCTAAACCCTAAACCCTAAACCGCTAGTCCCTCTACTTTGAGGGACCCTGGAGTTAAGTAGTTTATTTAGGGTTTAGAGTATACAGCATGTTGCCGTGTAAAGGCCGGTGTACCCTATCCTAAGCCTGTGTAAGGAGATTCCCTCCCATTACCAAGTCCAGGGTCACAAAAAAGTACGGGGGTTATGGTTTAGGGTTAAGGGGCTTTGGGCAAGCTCTTGTCCTTCAAAGACGACTCGGAGAAGCCTATGGAACATTGGGATTGTGCTGCAACATTCTCACATGAATTGCCAGAAAACAGGATCCTGTCTTGGGAGCTTTAGAGTCTGGGGTTTAGGGTATGGCATGGATTGTAATATGGGTTGTATATGGGGAGCTCTCGTTTGAGAAATACCCCCAAACCCTGAAACCCGTAACCCTCCAAGTCGACCCCAAAGTAGGTCTTCTTCACTCCGGTCAGTCTCTGCTACACCCCAAGGTTGGCAGGTAGCCAACGCACGAAACCCAACCCCTCTAAACCCTAAAAACTAAACCCTAAACCTCGAAACCCCGAACCTTTGAACCTTAAAGCACTCAAACCCAACCTTTAGACTTATAGCCTCAGGGCACCGAAAGATGCCAAGACTAAGAGCTGCATGCTAAGATCGAGGCCCAAGAGGCACACAGTTTAGGATTGAGGGTTAGGTTGCCTGAGCCCCACATGTATGTTGAATACTCTCTTGTTGACGGAGAGCTAGTCTTTTATTTACTGTTGAGGTCCAGGTAAGGGGCTTACGGGTTTCGGGTTAACGCTTGGGACAAAGAAAACACAGTTCGTAAGAGGAGCGATCATAGTAATGATCACAGAACGTTAGAGACTCAAAGTTGTTCCTGCACAAGCTACAACTGTAAACGACTAGAAGGGTTGGTTACAAGTGGCATAGAATAGACACCAGGTGCCGACCAGGAGAACGCAGAATTCCACCCTCAGCTGAGCACTTGCTTGACCGAAGGCAAGCTCAGATGGCGCATAGCTCTAAAGAGTGGCAAAAGATCCTATTACAGCAATCTTGTTGCCCAGAATACCTATAATCCCTACATAACCCCATTTTCTTTTCCATTATCCCAATACTACACCTATATATACACCATGATAGTATAGTAGTTTCCATTTTTCCATTATCTCATTCTAACCCCAAGATTATCCTGCCCACTAAAACTACTTCTGCAGCATCCTAAGACTCAAGACCCTCCTAACATTCAGTACGCAGAAATGTCAAAAGAAGTGTTTCCACTAAAGCTCCAGCATCTTATTCAGAAAGGGTCGGAAGAAATGTTCTCCGCCTGGACCAGAGTCAGGCATGTCTTACATAGACCCCCACCCTGGAATAGTAATATCATAGGAATATAATTAAGAGGATCCTAATATGATTACCATGATCCCCCGTAGTCACTATTGCTGGGTGGGGGTTCCATCTAAGGCATGTCTTTTGAACAGTGGACTCTTCAGGTTTCTGAAGTATTGGCGCGCTTGTATCAAGAGCTTCTTGGAGGGACCCTCGAAGGGACCCTTAGTTCCATAATCTTATAGAACCCTTTCACAGTTGCGAATCTACCCCTATATATAACCAGGGTTTAGGGTTTAGGGTAGCTGACATATCACCTCCCCAAAAAGCTACAGAGGTCCCCGGTAAGGGTCCCTCCTAAAGGCTCCAGATTGAAGTTGCGAGGACATGTAGGGTATAGGGTTTAGGGTATAGGGTTTAGGGCTATTCTCAAATTATGGGCCCCTGTTGATAATAGAGGGTATTACGGCACCTAATTTTTAGAGGTACCAAAATGGGACCCTAATTTTCGAAACTACCCTAAACGCTACATAGCCCTATATATGCCTATGAAACCCTCCCCTAAACCCTCCCTAATTTTGGAACCTACATAGGACCCTAATTTTGGAAATTACTCATATCCATGGCCAGGCTTTGGGCTCAGCAGCCTGAAGTCTTCGTTTCTCTCAAACATATGGGGTTTCCTTAAATTAGGAGAACTCTTTGAAAGGGGTTTGTAGGGGCTATATAGGGATGGATAGAAACTACCGCATAGTGGGCCACAATTTATCACATTGCACACGTCTGTGCAAGTTATGACCGGGTAATATCCCAAAGTACCTTATACTTACTCTTGCAGAGAACACGAACGTTTCAGCGTATGTATCCTACAGTACCCCAATATTACCATTACAAATAACACGACTGCTTCGTAACATACCTACCTAGCCCACAACCTACAGGGATTTGAGCCTTGGGGTGTAGGAATCTGGGGCTTCGGGTCGGCTTTGCGTGGAAGCCATGAGAAGGCAGGACAATTGAGGGATAGGTGGTTCAGAGCTTAGGATTTAGGGTTGGCCCCAATGCAGGCTAGTATGCAAGGTTCCTTGGGAGTGTTGGTGAACGTTGTTTAGCGGATCTGGGAAGAGCGCACATGCAATACCGGGACATTTCACAGAAGTCTGCACACCTCTTCCTTCAATCCTTCAGTTGGGCCCTTACAATCGCAAC